TTTTTTAAAGTCAGGGTCAGCTGTGTGCGGTGACTCACACCTGTAATCCCAGCACTTTGGGAGGTTGAAGCAGGCAGATCACCTAAGGTTGGGAGTTCGAGACCAGCCTCACCAACATGGAGAAACCCCATCTCTACTAAAAATACAAAATTATTTAGGCGTGGTGGCATGGGCCTGTAATCCCAACTACTTGGGAGGCTGAGGCAGAAGAATTGCTTGAACCCAGGAGGCGGAGGTTGCGGTGAGCTGAGATCACACCATTGCACTCCAGCCTGGGCACTGTCCCAAAAAAACAACAAAAAAAGACAGGGTCTTGTTTTGTTGCCCAGGCTGGTCTCAAACTCCTGGGGTTAAGCCATCCTCCTGTCTTAGCTTCCCGAATAGCTGGGACTCCAGAAGTATACCCCCACAATTAGCTGTTATGCCATTTATTGCTGAAGAAATTAAATCGCAGAGCAGTTAGTCAATAGCGGAGCTGCGCAAGGAACCCAGGCCATTTCGCTACGGAGTGTGTGCTCTTCACCACCACCGTGTGTGCTCTCCTCCCTCTGAATCTTCACAGGCTCCTCTAGGCCCAATGGGTTGCTGGATTTTTAACAGCCACAAGAAACCAATGCCAACATAGTGTGTGCCTCTCAGCAGGTCTGTGATGGGTATTAATTAATGCCTATGAGCCGGCTCCTCCCCTCTTCCTGGGATGCTTCCATCCCAACCTCCATTCCTGCCATTATCCTTCCACTTTCAGCGCAGATATCCCTTCCTCTGGGAAGCTCTCATGACCTGACAGAATTGACTTCTCCCTCGTGTGCTATGCAGACGCTGTGCAGACTCCAGCTGGGTCCTTAGCACTACCATCATCACACAGCCCACCTGCCTCTAGACCGTGGGCAGGAACTGTGTCTTGTTTCTTGCGTGTGTCTTAGGATACAAAGCAACGTACCTGGCCAAACTGGCACTGAGGAGGTATCTGTTGGCTTAAATGACTCGAGGTGGCGCTGCCCCGAGAGGACAGCCTAGGCATCTCTTCCCCATCACCTGCCTTACCATGTCTAACAGGATGTCCACTTTCAGCCGCAAGAGATTGTTCTCTTCCTCCAGCTGCTGGTTCCGCCTGCGAAGGCGCTGGACCTCCCTCCGGTCCACACCTCCACTAACCCCCGTCTCTGGAGGAAGGACAGAACCAGTTAGAGGGGGGTTTCCTTCTACAATCCTGATTGATGTGATGGCACGAAGTGCAGCTCACCTGCTATCCACTGGCCATTTTCAAACTTCAGGCTCTGCCCTGCCAGGTTCATAGTGGGGGATCCATATTCCAAGCCCAGCTCCACCTCCCGGGTTGACCGGTCCAACTGTGGGCGAGATGCCATGTGACAGCTTCAGCAGGCCTGGAACTTGCCCTCATTCCAACTCCTCTTCCCCTAACAATGTGACCCCACTAACTCATTTTTCTAATCATTACCTGGCACCTTTAATGATTTTTGTAAAGGCCATAAAATCAGATGATGTACAGCAAAAGTTTAATTACGAGATGAAAAAAATACTGTTTTATACATTAGATGTTTTCTAGAAAAGGTATATATACTGAAATTTATAAATGGAATTATTTTACATCTACTAGACACTTAATAGTTGAAGCAATTCTACTGTAAATTGTTAATCAAGTGAAAAATCCTTTTTAAATATAATAGTCCCCCAAGTTATCATTTTCTTAATATAGAGCTACATATGTTGTGGAAAAGACGTGAAATTCTAACAGGAAGAAGAGGAGTTGCTTCTTAATGTGCAACAGTACAATTTACATAGTCATTTCTTTTCTTTCTCTCTTTTTTTTTTTTTTTGAGACGGAGTTTCTCTCTGTCGCCCAGGCTGGAGTACAGTGGCGCCATCTCAGTTCACTGCAGCCTCCGCCTCCCAGGTTCAAGTGATCCTCCCACGTCAGCCTCCGAGTAGCTGGGACTACAGGCACGTACCACCACATCCAGCTAATTTTTGTTTTGTTTGAGACAGAGTCTCGTTCTGTCGCCCAGGCTGGAGTGCAGTGGCGCAATCACAGCTCACTGCAACTTCCGCCTCCAGGGTTCAAGTGATTTTCCTGCCTCAGCCTCCCAAGTAGCTGGGACTACAGACGTGTGCCACCACACCTAATTTTTCTATTTTTTAGTAGACACAAGGTTTCACCATATTTGGCCAGGCTGGTCTTGAACTCCTGACCTTGTGATCCACCCGCCTCAGCCTCCCAAAGTGCTGAGATTACAGGCATGAGCCACCACACCTGGCCTAATTTTTGTGTTTTTTAAGGTAGAGTCGGAGTTTCACCACATTAGCCAGGCTGGTGTCGAACTCCTGACCTCAAGTGATGCACCCACCTCAACCTCCCAAAGTGCTGGAATTATAGGCGTGAGCCACTGCACCCAGCCCATATATTGATTTCTACAACTCACTGAGCACCCACCCTAATTCAGGACTCAGTACTGGGTATCCAGGGATGAGTATGACCAGCTCTTCCTCAAGACCGGCTCAACAGGGAGAGACCTTCAGGGAAGTAGGCAAATGTCCCTTTCTCAGTCAGGCCTTCCTGACCACCTGGTGAAGATGACAGTTCTGTCCCCACTACTCAGAAACAACCCTTCCCAGGCCTATGCTTTGTTTTGCTGTCTACCACCTGTCACCCTCTGATTTAAATGTGCTTATTTTCTATAGCCTTCCATTAAAATATCTGCCCCATGAAGGCAGGGATTGGATGTTTTTCCTCTCCCCCTCTTCATCCACTTCTGCCTGCCAGTGCTTAGAAGAATACCTGCCACATAGAAAGGTATCAATCAATAGCTCCAGAATTAATCAATAGAGAAGAACATTCTAGGCTGGGCATGGTGACTCATGCCTGTAATCCCAGTACTTTGGGAGGCCGAGGCGGGCAGAGCACCTGAAGTCAAGAGTTCAAGACCAGCCTGACTAACATGGAGAAACCCTGTCTCTGCTCAAAAAAAAAGTGCAAAATTAGCTGGGCATAGTGGCACATGCCTGTAATCCCAGCTACTTGGGAGGCTGAGGCAGGAGAATCGCTTGAGCCCGGGAGGCGGATGTTGCAGTGCGCTGAGATCATGCCACTGCACTCCAGCCTGGGCAACAAGAGCGAAACTCCATCTCAGAAAAAAAAAAAAAATTAGCCAGGCATGGTGGCAGGCACCTACAATCCCAGCTACTTGCTCAGGAGGCTGAGGAAGGAGAATCACTTGAACCCAGGAGGTGGAGGTTGCAGTGAGCTGAGAATGCGCCACTCAAGGGAAGAAAGACTCAATCTCAAAAAAAAAAAAAAAAAAAAAAAAAAAAAAAAAAAAAAAAAAAAAAAAAAAAAAAAAAAAAAAAAAAAACTGGACAATATTGTTTGGGGTCAAATATCATGAGATTGTCTTCTTAGGTTCCTGGACAAACAAGGTCTGACAATCATTCCCAAACAAGAGTTTGAAAATGTTTTCAGCAATAGCAATCATATGGATGGAAAGGATGCCCTCCTGCAATGATGCCTCCAGAGGACCAGTTTCCATTCAGACACACACTCAGCACTCAACTCACGCTGCACACTGGGCCAACCCCAGTACCGACACTTACAGAATGCAGGTTGGAGAGAGATGCAGACTTCCGAGGAGGTGTCTTCTTCGGACTGAATGTATTCCCAAAGAAGGGCATCTTTGGCCTGATGAAGGCAAAGCCAGCGCTCCCTTCACCTAGGGTCAGAAAAAGTTAGGGGGAAAGACAGCTGGATCACTGACCTTACACCATTGTCCTCAAATCTTGAAAACATACATTTTATCATGTGGCTACTAACGATCCTGGTGCTATGGTTTGAATCTCCCAACCAAAAATCATGTTAAAATTTCACTGCCATGGTAACAGTGTTAAGAGGGACGAGCCTTTAAGGGGTGACTGGCCCATGTGAGCTCTGCTCTCCTGAGTGGATTAATGCTGTTGTCATGGAAGTAGGTTAGCTATGTCAGGAGTGGGCTCCTGGTCAAAGGGTAAGTTCTGCTGCCATGCTGTCTGTCTCATGCACGTGCTCCCCATGTACGCCTTCTGCCTCACACTGGATGACCCTCACCAAATACTTGCACCATGCTCTTGGACTTCCCAGTCTCCAGAACTGTGGACCACATAAACTTCTTTTCTTTTATTTACTAATTTTTTTTTGAGACAAAGTATCACTCTGTCGCCCAGGTTGGAGTGCAGTGAGGCAATCTCGGCTGACTGCAACCTTCACCTCCTGGTTCAAGCAATTCTCCTGCCTCAGCCTCCTGGGTAGCTGAGACTACAGGCACATACCACTACGCCCAGCTAATTTTTGTATTTTTAGCAGAGACGGGGTTTCACCATGTTGGCCAGGATGGTCTCAATCTGCTGACCTCATGATCATGATCCGCCTGCCTTGGCCTCCCAAAGTGCTGGGATTACAGGTGTGAGCCACCGCGCCCGGCCTTCTTTTCTCTATAAATTACCCAATCTGTGGTAATCTGTTACAGCAGCACAAAATGGATTCCCATGTGTTGTGCAGGAAAGCTTGCGTTTAAAAAAAAAAAAACAGCTCCCATGTGCTGAATGCTCTCTCTGTGCTACGCAGTATGCTAAAATTTTTGGGTGGGGCACAGTGGCACATGCCTGTAGTCCTAACTACTTGGGAAGCTGAGGTGGAAGGATGGCTGGAACCCAAGGAGATTGAGGCTCGGTGAGCTGTGATCCACTGCTGCTCTCCAGGCTAGGCTATGGAGTGAGAGACCGTGTCTCAAAAAAAAAAAAAAAAAAATTAGCCTGGCATGGTGGTGCACACCTACAGTCTCAGTTACTCAGGAGGCTGAGGCAGACAGATCGCTTGAGCCCAGGAATTCAAGACCAGTCTGGCCAACATGGCAAAACCGTGCTCTACAAAAAATACAAAAATTACCTGGGCATGGTGGTGCATGTCTGTAGTCTCAGCTATTCAGGTGGGAGGATCACTTGAACCCATGAGTTTGAGCCCCCGGGGAGCTATGATCATGCCACTGCACTCCAGCCTGTGTGAAAGAGCAAGACCTTGTCTCCAAAAAAATAGTAATAAAGAAATGGCCAGGGGCGGTAGCTCATGCCTGTAATCCCAGCATTTTGGGAAGCCGAGGTGGATGGATTACCTGAAGTCAGGAGTTCAAGATCAGCCTGATCAACATGGAAAAACTCCATCTCTACTAAAAACACAACATTAGCTGGGCATGGTGGTGCATGCCTGTAATCCCAGCCACTCGGGAGACTGAGGCAAGAGAATCACTTGAACCTGGGAGGTGGAGGTTGCAGTAAGCTGAGACTACACCAGTGCACTCCAGCCTGGACGACAAGAGTGAAACTCTGTTCCCCCCTACCGCCCACCAAAAAAAAGAAAAAGAAATAAAGCTACACTTATATTTCCTTTTTGATAACAATGCCCCTCACTTGTCACCAGTGTCACTTGTCATCTCATATGTCAGGTTACCTGTCCTGTTATGGAAGGTGAGGTGAGGTGTCCTGAAAAGGGGGCAGGTCCAGGCTGTGGCAGAGCTGGACCTCCCCGCCCCATACATTTGCTTTCAGCACAGTGCAACCTACTGCAATTCACCTAGGCCTACTTACGTAGATTTACTGATAACACCCAGGTTTTTGGGAAAGAAAAAATGGGGAGAAGCAAACTTTTAATTTAGGCTGGGCACAGTGGCTCACACCTGTAATCCCAGGACTTTGGGAGGCCAGGGCAGGAG